ACCCCAATATATCCCTAATTAGTACTTGGACCCTCTGGGCTACCTTGAAAAGTATCTTACAGTCTGCTGCGTCTACCAACGACATGGTATGCGTGATCAGTGACGAAGAACACAACAACTGCAGCAGTAACAGCAGCAGCAGCAGCATGACTAGGAGGAGTAGAGAAGTGACTAGTAGCTGACTAGTAGCTCCGGGAGACATGGTGGTAGCAATTGGCATGACACATATGTGAATGTGTATAGTATGATGATCTTTCCTTCTCGTACAGACTCCTGGCCTCTTCCTCTGCCCTGTCACAGCGCAACTGTGTCAAAGCCTTGCTGCAAGGCCAGAATGAAAAAGCGTTCATATGCATCGATAAGTCAGAACTGCCTCCATGAGCTTGTTCTTCTCCTCTACTGCCTCACGACGGTCTTCTCTTTCGTGCAAGTGGACTCGAGTTTGCCGTGTCTCCAGTCTCCCAAAAGGCTTGGAGGCTGCAAGTGTACGTGGGAGTCTCTATCATCATCCGCATCCTTTCGGACCCTTACGATGTTGAGACCCTCTTATCAAAAAAACACTCTTCTGGAAAAGCCTCACAAGAGCTTGGTGCACCTGTTCTGAGGAAGCCTACCTCCTGCTTCAGAAGGTCCGATTTGGCCAACTCTTCCCGTAGGTCGTGAAGCCGTGCTTCGCAAGTTGCTTGAGAGGCCTGCCATAGGTGCTTTGCCGCTCAGGCTTGTCCATTTCGGAGGGAAACTGCGGTAGCTTTTCATGGGCTTGGGTACTGAATCAACCGGAAAATTCAGCTCTTTCCGGAGCTGTCAAAATGGCTGTATTCTTGCCACAGGGGCGCTTTGAGCTTCGCAAGCTGCAGCGGCAAGTTAAGGATAGATTTGACTAAGAGATGTGGGCCTTTGATATCGAGATTCTACCTTTCACATCAGCTCCACAACAAGCTCAGAAAGCTACTCACAGGCCCATGAACCCTGTTTGTCTGCACATCATGCATGACTATATGCAGGTACGTTGGCGCGTGATTTAGGTGAACTCCTGTCCAGCCTGGCCATGCAAGTTACAGAGTTACAGTACTTGTGCGACCAAGCATGACTTGCCCTCTCAGTCCTGCCTGCAACTGCTGATGCTCGTCGCGCATGCGAAGAAGGCTCTCCTGGCCAAGCTTCGAACCGCAACACAAAATCCAAAAGCGTTCAGCTGCCCAACTTGGCCAAACGACTTGTAGAACGGCCGGCCAAGCTATGCTCACTGCTTGGCAACATCTTCGCACTTAGATTGTGCTCACTCGGCTTATATCGTGTCATGCTATAACATATGCCATCTCAGACTGCCGGACACTGAAAGACTCTTCACTGGGCAATACAGGCAATACAGGCTTCTGGTGCTGGATAATGTGTCTAATGATGCCACTTGACATTTTCTGCGCAGTCTGGATCATACACTGAGCATGCCATGCCAGTTTTGTCCCTGCACTTGCCAAACTCATCTGAGCTAAATATTGCCCTCTGCCACGGAGTGCTGCCAAGATCTTCCGTGGTCCGTGGACAATGGACGGGTCAGCAAGTCAGAGGTCCCAGTACTTTGTGGATTCTTCACCACAGGAAGCACGTAGTAGTTTTCCAAATTGGGGTTCCCTAATATAGACCCCGAAATACTAGAATCCTTACTATAAGAACCCGCAAAAATGTATAGGGATGATATAAGGATAATATAGGGGTTATGTAGAGGTTATATAAGGATAGTATGCGGATAATATGGGTGGTTACTATGTAGGTGTAACACTACTTGTGGGAAACTCCCATGTGCCAAAGGTTGGTCACCTCGGCCTGGCCATGCTGAGCGGCTGCCTGGCGGAGCAAGCTTCTAGAAGCAGGCACTATAATAGGGTTTAGGGTTTAGGGTTTAGTATTATTCATAGAATTATTAGTATTATGGTTACTATTATTAATATTATCAGGAACAATAAAAGCAGTAGGTAGCAATAGCAATGGCAGTAGCAACAGCAGCTCTATAATACCCGACTTGGAGGGTCAGGGGGACTTGGTAAGTAGTTTAATGGCCCCCTAATCCATCCCCATGCTTAATCTACTTCCGAAGTCCCCCTAACCCTCAAAACAGGGTTCAACCCAGTGAGATGCCCAGGTGCCTCTGCGGCACCCTCTCGGGCCCGTGTCCGGAGGGAGGAAAGCGCTCGCGCAAGTCGCTCCCTGGCAGCCTCAATGCAGCATGATGTGTTTGGTGTTGCGGCACTTGGCTTCTCAAGACTTGAACCTCATCCTGCGACTCCGCGAATCGAAGTCTCTCAACGATGACCTACCATGCCAACAAAAGGCTGGACGTGTCAAGCGTGGTATCTGGTGCACCTCGCGTTCTTTGCCACTCAGCTCTCGCTCATCATGAAGCGCAGCCTGTTGCGCTCAGGGGAAATGAAGATACTGACAACTACATGCCACAGGCCAAGGTGCCCAGTATATCTCTCAAAGTCCTCTCTGTTGTAAACAAGGCGCTGGGATACAAGAGTGTCATCTTGCAGTCTTAAGCGCTGCCATGAGGAGCATGTGGTCAAAGTCTCTGCCCTCTGTGAGACTTTGACAACCGTCACAACATCAGAAACGAAAGGCCAACAATGCTGGCACCGATATGATTCCATTCATCTCCGGCAGCCCTAGGCACGCAAAGACGGCTTCATGGCTTGGTGGCCCTGTCCTATGACCCGCTGGCCTCCGCAGACTGTAGCTTTTGCAGCAGCAGTTGGGCTTCGCGGGCATTTAGCGCTAATGCCTGTATCTAGACGTTCGGCGTGCTGCATGGAGTCTGCAGGTGCACCACCATGCAACTGGCACAATCCCAAGCGCCTCCTGTCGGGATGCTTGCTGGCAGCCTTTCCTAGGAGGGAGAAATTGAAACAAGCAGAAGCTATCCGTCATGCAGATATCTGCATGAGGCAGGAGCGGGTGCGTCATTGGTCCAGACCGCCAGGTTGCCCAAGCCCCATGCCACACTCAGATGGTGGAGTGGAGCGCTCCATCTGGGGTTCAAGCGGCACAAGGCTAGTTCTGAAACTAATGCGAATGCACCGTTTACAGCATGTGTTACTTCTGCATGTCACATGAACAGAAGCTTGACAGGATGTTCATACAGGGGTGGTAGATCATCACGATGCCATCCAGCATGTGTGCCCCGAGCTTGCTTCTAGCCATCGTAGAGTAACCATTTTCGAATTTGTTTGTCAACCTGCCAAATGCTGCAGAGGAAAGTTTTATCAAGCCTTGCAAGGAGGCATGAGCACTTCTTCAGCACTTTTGAAAGGGACAAGTGTCGCGGACAGAGCTAAAAGCTTATGGTAAGACCTGTGAAGCTGGAGGGTCCTGGCACAAGGTGCAGAACGTCTATCTCAGGAACTCAGCAACAAGGTCGCTGTTTTCATGCTGCTATTCTGGACTTGAAGCGATAAAGGTCGTGTGTCTGGCACAGCGCTAGACGCTGGACAACCTCACCAAAGTTTGCAGCTGCAAGCTAGCGCGCCCATCACTGAGCGCCATCGCTCCAGTAGTGTGGCAAGGAAAAACGAGTTTGCAAGCAAATTTAGTATACAGGAAAAGGTGTCGCTGTAGCTCGTGACCCCTTCACCGGCCAAGAGCTTCTATGAGCGCCTTGCTGGTGCTCTAAAGGTCTTGAATGCGAGCAGCCCCCCGTAGATTGTTGAGGCAGAACGGCATTTTGACTACACCTGGGCTTAAAGTGCACTAAGGCAGCTAAGCCCAGGAGGCACTTGTGGCAATTTCAGTTCACAAGCCTTAAGACATTCATCTAATCACGACGCGGTCTAGAGACTGATCTAAACTCAGAATGCATGGTCGGCAGGCACGGTCGGCTGGGCAGAGCTAGAAGCCAATACCCAATGCCTGGGCGGTCGCTGTAGGTCCTACTGGCCCATCAGCCGCGAAAACGATTACAAAACAAGTAGCTACATCAACTACTAGGCTTCAGGCCACGAGCAAGATGGCGCCTGCCCTTGGATGCATGAGCTTGACAGAAGAAACTGCAGTCTGCGAAAGTCTCGCGTCTAAAGCCAAGTGTCACTGAGCACAGATGGGCCCGACTGACGCTACCCTCTCCCGCAGTATCCTGCTCAAAGGCAATGACCTGTACAGCAGCAAGGCCCGAGCAAGGCTGCGTCCCAACACACAAGCACATGAAACTTCCTGCCGCCTTCTGAGAATATGTACCACCGGTGTTTTCGTTGATTTTCTGAGTCAACATCTGGTTAAAGCTCTGTGCAGTCACTCCATCCAGCTTGTCCTGCACCTCAGGATGACACGCACCTAATTTGACCTCTTCCCATCCAAGGCTTCAACAAGCAAACTTCGGACTCTGCCAGACACATCTGAGGGCTGCACAGTTTTCAAAGGTACAATCGGCTCCAGCTCGCCACTCGATTGCTCCACATATGGAAGTGTGACGATATAGCTTACAGTGATGTTGCCCCCGGCGTCAGGAACCATCTGTAGAGCCTGGCACACCGTCAGGGGATGATGTCAGCTTTGTACAATGATGTTTTTGCATTGCCACAAAACAGTCTCACGTGAACAACTTGGCTTTTACTTGGAGGAATTCTCGGCTTGTGAACACATTGGGCTACAATTCAAGTGGACCTGTCTTTTTGTTTGTGACCCTGCAGCAGGGTTCAGCCAAGGATAGCTGTAGGGCTGATGCTTCAAGAGTTTTTGTCGCAGTCTAAGGGTGATGCTTGTGGAGGCAGCGGTGGCTTCAACTATGCAGTTCCAGCTGACGTCTGTGACATCGTCGCAATGAATTGGTGTCTCTCCAGATAACGATGTGAGGTAGTCTTGATCACAAGAGCTTCCTCTTCTGTATATCTTGGGCTTGTGTTTACAACCAAAACACATTGCACGCACATCCATGATTTAAAACACTTCCTGAAGTTGTCTCTGGGCGGAGCTTGAACCCGTTGGCCACTTTCCTATCTTGCTGACATAAACATAGCTGCTTGCTGATGATGATGCGGCATGACCAATCCCGATATCAACAGCTGCACTTATGATACACCAAAATGGGATAGAGACCGTAGCAACTGTGTAAGATTGGGATTCATGAGGGTCCATTACCAGAAGGAGGACAAGGTAGAGGCAACAGTGACCGCTGGAAGATTGCGCTCTTGCTAGCTTGATTTATGTACAGCCCCCAAGGCTGCGCACGAATTGGCCGCGCTAAGACCCTGGCAATCCACTGCTCATCGAGAGAGGAAATCTCCGCCATAACCTCTTTGTAGGCGGCAATGACTCTGGAGTCTGTCGTGTAGTCAACATATGTGTTCACATCCGCGACAACAGCCCGCGCGGATAGCCTGGGCAATGCATTTGTAATTCTCGTCATGAAAAAACAACCTTCGGGCATAACTGTTTGCTACCCCTGGCCTGACGACTGCCGCCGGCTCCACCGTAGTTGTGCTGGCTTGTGTTGTGGGTGCTTGAGTGGGCTGGGTGGTTGGTGGATCAGTGAAAGTGTATGTTACACTTGTTTCTGTGTGGGTGTGCGTAACTGTAGTGACTGACGTCAGTGTGCTGGTTGCCGTAGCAGTCAGCGAGGTCTGCGTTGCCGTAGTTTCAGTGACGCTGGTGACTGTCTGCGTGTGCGTCACGGTGGTGACGGTTGTCGAGGACACGGTCTGTGTGGTGGTTGTGGTTGTGACGCAGCACGGGCTGGCGCAGACGGTAGCACAATTGGATAAGCCTTCAATACCTTCAGGGACCATGAGATGCAGAGGGATGTAAGGGGTCATGTCTAGTGTGGCGGCTTTATTCCAGACTTCAAGCCATGAAAGGAATGCCATGTTATGTCACACCAGGTTTTTGCTAGGGTGCCTGTGCACGTGACGCCCGCATCAGCTAGGTCGGCACAGGATGCAGTACCCACGCAGACGGAGTTCCAAGATTCATCTGAACATCCTGCACTAAAGAGAACTGCGTTTCATGGAATATGGGGGCTTCCCTACATTAGCGGTGCCTTTTTCGGGGTCCGCATGATGAGGATTGTAATGTATTGGGGCCTATTTTGGGGTCCCCCTGTTTTGTGACACTGCCTACCATGTAATCCCAATGTCACAGCTTCCGTGTCATTTTCCATGTGATTCCTGTTTAATTCTCCACTGTTGGGGATAATATCCCTAAAACCTGACGCATAAATAGTAGGAAACCCGAACGCTAAATACCAAGTGATTGAAACATGCCACTCTACACGGCCCGGCGCTGCGAAATTCTTACTGGTTCTTGGAAAGGAAGGGAAATAAGGGAATATATTATAGAGGGATTATGTAGAGGTTAAATTCCTTTTTTCCCGACCAAGAACCAGTAAGGCCCTGCGAATTTGCAGCAAGGCGCCATCCGGCTTGTCTACGCCAAGCACGCCCAGGATGAGGAGGGGCCAGGCCGCGAAGGCCCATGCCATTGCGTCAAGCTGGTCACAGGGTGCGGCCAGCCCGACAGATCCCCGCAGGCAACGCCTTGATCCGAACCGTTGGCACATGGTGGCTCCACTTGAGGGCAAAGTCCCTTAATATGAGGACAGCTCCCTGATCCTGCACCAGCCAGTTGCAGTTCTTTTGACAGCCAGAGAGCCAACTCGGTGCAAAGCCCGTACTGTATAGCCACCTCTGTCGATTGCGCTTCTGGATTGACTGTGCTTTAATCTGCAACGACCTGCAAACTCAACCACAGAGGAGGATTACGGTGATTAGTGATTACGGCAAATGATATCAAATCAGCCAATACACCTCACATCACATGGCCGCTGCGGCCCCGATTGGGGCTTGCTTTTGCGAGCACATGTCGCCAGTCTGTATCAATGGCTGAACTCCGCACCTTAATTTTTACAAGCTAGCAACCACACCCTTTTTAGTCCATCCCTGGAATAGTCTGATCATTGGCACAGGGTACAGGCTCTGTCAAGGGGCTGTGGAACGCATACCTGGGGAAGCTCTAGCTTCAGGCAAAGTTTTTGAGCTTGCTGGATTTTGCCAGCGCTCATCACCTTGTGTGACAACACCACTTCCATTGAATCAGTAACCATTCAGCTGCATTCTCGTCGCCACTGCAGCAAGCACTGCTGCAGCGCGGTACGAACATCCTGGTGGCAGAAGAGATGTGTGACACCCAGATGCGTAGCAAGCTGCAGCAAGCACACAGATCCTTCACCGGTGCATTTTGCAAAAGCACCTGACATGTCTGACATGCGGCTCTCCTTCCGACAGCTTGCTTGACAGACATCTGCATTTGCCAGCAACTTCTACAAAGAACCTCTCCAAGCTGCCGTGGACCGATGTCCGTTTTGAGTCCCGGCAGGGCTCCAACCTGAGTGAGGCGCGGAGGTCGGCAAAGATCCTACACAGCTCCAGCTGAGCACGGCACCAATGCTTGCTGGAAAGCATCCTTGGCAGCTTGCAGCTGGGCCTCTCAGGAGGCGGTCAGACGTTCAGAGAAGAGCCCAGCCTGGAGGCCTGCGGCTGTGTTGTAGGGTTCATTACCCATCGCAGAATGGAGGCAGCCTGGCTAGCAAGTGCCATAGATGTGAAGAACACAAAGGCAGATTACTTTCCAACTTCAGTCATGCATAGCGGCATAGCATGCCAGATAACATTTTGTCCGACAGAGCTAACTTCGCGGCCCAGCCAGCTACTCATAAACGTTCCCGATAGCCCGGCACTTGCAACTGCAAATCTCACGAAGTAACACCTTAACGGAGAGGACCGAGCAGTGGGAGGAAGCAGGCGCCGAGCAACAAACACCAGCGACACACTCAGTCAAAGGTTCGCACACGCAAGTAGGCTACAAACCCTGTATCCTCTACAGTCAGACACTTATCTGTTAATGGCTGTGCAGCACACTGGCCGCTCCCGCCCGAGCGCTCTGCCAAATTGACCCCACCACGAGCTAATCAGGCGGGTGGCCGGGTGGCCGGGAAAAAAATTGTCAGCACAAGCGCTGCTGCACATGGCAAGGTTCGCTGCAGTCCCGCGACCAGGCTCTGCCAGCAACTTCACAACGCAGTTGCAACCATCTTTCGGCGCTCTTTCTCATTACCCTAGGTTGTTCCAGGGTCTTTTTCTGGCCTTGAGGGTGTGCGCCGCAAAGGACTTCTGATTGTTGCCTTCGTATCTCTCCAAGGTGTCGTGTCGTGCTAGTCCGGCGAGCTTGTGACCAAAGAAGCACGCCTAGAAATCCAACCTGGATGTATGCCACGTCCTCCTACACGCCAAAGTCCGCATTTCGCGCTTGTGCTACTCATGACAAATCCACGGGTGATTATGACACAAGCACACAAAACAAAAGCGTGCATGATCAACATTTTCTCAAAATGGCGGAGGATGCGAGGACATCATGTGCATGCAGTTGCGAGGATGGTCCTGAGATGGGTTGGGCGCGTTCTTGTGCTGAGGAGGCAGAAGCTGTGAGAGGCTGCAATCCAATACATCGCAAGGGCATGCCAGCATTTAGTAGCACCAGGCCTCCCCAAGAACTTTCTGAGACTGGATGTCGTTGAAATCCATACCTGAGCAGATTGAGTTTTGAAGACATTCAGCTAGCACATGATAATACCACAACCTAAGAAAAATGCTAAAGGCGATGGCCAATGGCCCTTCAGACAATAAGCTGCCTGTCAGGCTCGCAACCTCACAAACTTAGGCCTCGGCGTGCCGCAGACCATAGGAGTCTTTGCAGCAGCTGTGCCTCAGCCAGGCTCTGGCCGCCACGATCTACGTAAGACCCTGCACTTCGTGGACTTCAACCAGCCGCTTAGGCCGGGAACGATTGGCAAACTCGCAATGGCCTGGAAGTTCTGCGTGATCCCAGACAAATCATTCTACTTCAAAGCTGTTCTGAGGCCCAGCTGTTGCGGTTTCCGCTGAAGCCGAGGCCAATTCAAGTAAAGCCTGAAAACGAGCATGCAAAAAGGCAGCTACGAAGGCAGCAAATGACAAGACTTGAAACCACTCGTTATTTGGGCTCCGGCTGCCCAGGCGGATGCTGCATAGAGCAGAGCCTTCAGCCTGCGGCCAACTCAATCTTGCTTCAATCGGGGATTGCAACTGACCACCAGGGCCACAGCTCGTGGGCATCTTGGAGTCCCACCCTCAGCGGCTTTCCAGATCAGATGCGCACGGCTCCACAAATCAGTCTGGGCTCAGCACAATAGGAAGCCGGTCATCTCTTGGCCGTGCCTTTGGTGCGAGGCAGTCAATGGACAGGGAGACTTCTTCCGCAAACGATCCCTGCCTGGTGTTGGTTAGCATGGGTTCCAGCAAGGCACTTGGACAGCGCCTGAAGCATGCAAGGAATAGCCCCATTCCATTTGCTTCCCTTCTTGGCTCTTCTAAGGCTCCAGGCTGTGCTGCTTCTTTCAGTAGCTGCAGCAAGGCATTGCCTCGGCCCAGACTCTCCGAAGAGAGCTCTGAAGAGAGCATCAGGACACTAAAGTACAGAAACACCGGGGAAAATGTATCTCACCAGTTGTTTAGTTCTTCTTGTAGGCTTCCGTCCAAGCTCCAACTTCTCACGCTTCAGCTGGTCAGACTGCTCGGGCATCTGCTGCCACCTCAGGCAGACTCAGTTTGGCATGCGCTGTAGGCCTTGCCGCAGCTAAGTCCCCTACACAGCAAAGGGTCGAAGGAAAGTCTGATGTAGCCTAAGCTTGGCAACTCGCACGTCTCACGCTGCAACGGCTGCAAAGCCGGCTGCGTGCAGCAGTCAGCAGGCGTTCTTGCGGGAATTCAGCAGGCGTCGGCCATCGGTGACAAAAACTGCACGAAGCATGGATCGTGCTGCAGGTCTCCGCCGGCAAAGAAACACTCCGTATTGGAAGGCTTCCGGAACTGCATCCATTTTGGGCAGTATGCCTGTGCATGTTATGATTGGGCGCATGTGATGCACACCGCCTGCAAACAACTTCCCTTGAAAACTTGAAAAGAAACGTTCAGGGCCAAGACCGCCCTGCATCTTGCTGGGAATTATTGGTTGTGACCCACTCCCTTCTGAGAGCGCACTGGAAAATCCCACATTTCTACAATGTCGAGCTCAGCGAGTAGTCTTTGGAGAGCGCTCAAGCCGGGGTATGCTTGGGAGCCTGCCACATAAGCACTTTGCCAGACCTCCTAGGATTCGGCTTGACAGCCATGATCATATCTGATGACTCATGACACAAGTTGCCGCCTGCCTGGGCATGTGAGATGGTAGAAACCCTGTGAACGCCAGACGCTTGCCGCCCTCAGGGTTCTACACAAGCTTAGCTCCACTCATATGCCATGCAAAGAAAAGAATTTATCTAGGTGCAGCTTGACCCAGGCCTTTTTAAGGACGGCATTTTCCAAAAGATCGTCCAACGTCCTTACACTTAGGGCGGCACGGCCCCACGTGGGGCTTTTCAAACTCATCAAGGACATACAGCCTAAGCACACTTGGCCAGGACACGGCTTCAGCAGAGCACGAGCGGAGTGAGGAGCTCGAGCCAGCGGTGACAGCTTGCGCCTGGAAGCCCTCGGATTGGAGTCCTTAGCCAAACTCAGAGCTTGTCTGAGCAAAACTGACATCAACATTCAGGGCGCTAGGAGAAACAGGACCCTGCTGGATGGTCAAGTTTGAAGCCGTAGCTTCAGGGAATTGAAGTCAGCCAAGCGTTGTTTCTCGCGGCGATTACTACAAACCCAACACACGCCTGTAAGCTTTCTAGTCGTTGTACGAGCAATCTCTTCCGCAATTCAAAGTGCCACTGTTCAAAGCTTGCTTGACTTGGCTAAGCGTCTGTCTCCTGGGGGTGATGGACCTCCCCCAGCAACAGGTCCTTCCAAAGCGCACGACTGCGAGGCCGATTAGGCCGCCGCAAGTCTCGACATCTAGGCGTCAGCTCAAGTGCAACTAGCATTCACAGATACTGTTTGGCAAACACATGTGGGAAGCCAAAATCTCCTGCGCAAGCTCCTTGAAGTGACCCATAAACACCCAGTCATCAGCAGCTTCTTGGACCCAATGTTTTCTCTCGCGGTCCCTGGCTGCAGGTTGTGTCCAGCAACTGTGCACAAACAATCAAGATCAAGGAGAGCGGCATCATAAGGTGCTGCCCAAGTCTCTTCCGTTGCTCGCAGTGGTGCGGTAGGTGGACCTCCTCGGCAGAATCACCTTGTTCGCCCAACAAAGAGCACACGAGTTCTCACTAGACCTGAGACAGGACAACAGGCTGGTGCCTGGGCGTCGATGCGGCCAAGAGTAGAGAGGAATCAAAGGTAGATCCGCCCGCAGCTGCAATGTCTGCTTCACTTGTGCTACCTGAGAGGTCATCAGCTTTCATGGAAGCTGGAAGGTTGTTTTGTTCTAGATCTCCTCTAGCAATCGCATGAAATTCAGCAAATCCAAGAAAGGAAAAAAAAATGAAGGTATGACAGCAGTGTTCTTGAAAGGTGCCGAAGTGCCCTGGAACACCGGTCAGACTCATCCGCAAATTCCGGATCAGCATCGCCACTACTTGACTGACTCTGCAGAGACCGCTTACTGTGCGATCGGCATGAGAGTTCAGAGAGTCTCTCTGGCCGTGCCTGCTTCTTTACATGCTTGCGAACAGTGTTATCAATGCGACGAATATGGCTTTCCCGCTTCTCAACGTTCGTCCTGGTCTCATCATAATTTCTGTCCATTTCCCAGTCGTCTAGAAAGCACGTCTCATTCATGGACAAGGTACCTTCTTGATTGACGTCGAGGGCAGCGAAGAGCTGACGAGCATTGCCGCTGTAACCGTAAATGCGACAGTTGCCGCGAAATTCCTGGAACGTTAGGCTGTTTGAGGCGTCATGGTCGAACACACCGAAAGCAGCTCTGACTGTCCCAAACTCGCTCCATGCCCAATTTTTGAAATCGCACAAGGTAGCGTTTGCCTCTGTGTCTATCTCATTCAGCGTGATATAACCAGAAAGATCCTCGTCAAATGCACGCCAAGCACCTGGCGTGTCTCCATGGTAGCGTATCTTCTGGCATGCGGCCTGGAACTCGTTCCAGTTGCAGCGGTTGCTGCCGTCCTTGTCAAGCAAATGCTTCCATGCTTTCAGGAAGTGACCACCATATTTCTGTCCAATTAGCTCTCGGAGTTCTTCTCTGGCAGCATAATTTGCTTCAGCCAGGAAGTACGGCTGAGGGTGCCATCTCTCCAAAAACTTCAGCTCAGACTCTTCAATCGTTTTAGAATTCTGCTTGTCCAAGTGCTGGAACAGGTGCTTTGTGTGGCCAGCCCAGCCCCACTCACGCAGTGATTTGTCAAACTGCTTGTAGGAAACCTTCTTTCCAACGTCTGGTTCTAGCGATGCAAAGCCATGCGAGACTGATCCAAACTTGCTTTCCAGGAAAGCCTTGAAGCGGGCTAACGTCTCGGCACTAGGTGGGTCAAGCTCCTCTAATGATGCAAATCCACTGTCGTCTTTGTCAAGCACTCGCCAAAGGTCTCGTGCTTCGTGGGAAAATCCAAGCAGAGCACAAGCTTTGAGAAATGGTGTCTTGGGAATTGCCATCAGGTCATTGCTTAAAGCCACTCGCCAAGCTCGGACAAGATTCCCATGCTTCTTTATGAGGTACTCCTTGAACCTCTGCATGGTCTGCTCTTGAGCTTCGTGCGCCTGTTGCTTTCGCAGCGAGTGAATCGCCCGGCTCTTGGCCTCCATCTTCCGCTGGATCCGCCGAAACTCGGCCTCTAGCCACCCGAAGCTTTCCCGGCCAAGCTTACCTCGAGCACAGGAGCTGCTACATGGGAAAGGGAGGTGCCATTGCAGGCATAAGTCTTAAGCCCAACGTCTCCCTGCCTGAAGCATCCCAGTCCAGGCCGCTGAATAAAAGCTGTTCCTGTCCATGCTGCCACCCCATCTCCTTGATGCGTTTTGCGAACTGCTGTTCCTGGGAAACAGCTTAGCAAGCGAGGTGTTGAACAAGACATTCTGTTCTTACCTTTCAAATCAGCGTGCACAAGACTGTTCTTGGACCCAGCTTCCGTGAGTGCCGCCTGCCGGGACTTGATGGTCATCCGGCTTTTCAAACGCTCCTCATTGGTGTTCCCAAGCCTTGTAAGCAACTCCTCAACGGACCTGAAATTGTTTATGCACCACTGGCGGAAATCGTTCCACAACTCCTGAGCTCAAGTTGACGCAGGACATTTGGATCTCGCCTAGACATGGCATTTACTTCAATCCTCCGTGCCCTGACATTCAGACTTTTGCGCAGGCCTCGGCCCCCAGCCGCATGTAAGCTTAACACCCTGAAACAACAGCCCTGAAGCCATTTTTCTGCTGTGGCTACTGTTAGTGTTTTGATGCTGTTGTTGATGGCAATGGTAGTGGTAGTGTTATGGCAATGCTCAAAGAAAATCGGATTGAATTCATAAAGCCTCAGGAAGCTTCGAATTATCCTTCACAGCTGGTTAGAAGATGATGCGGGGTTGCACTCCAGGTAGGGCACTGCATGGACACTTACTTGGGCACTCCTGCGACTGCGTGCCGCTTGGCACTGGGGTTGGAGACCCTGGGCACTACTGTTGGAAGATCGGTGACCGGCTAAGACAACACATTAGCCAATGTCTAAACTCCTAGTATCCCCCTTAATAACCCATAGTAATCCCATATATAATCCCTTATATAACCCGCTTTGGAAGGATTGAGATTATGGCTCACATCTTCATGAAGTCTGACAACCTCAGGCTGCGGGTGGAGGAACAAACTCATGTCGCCAGGCCACAGCTTGAGCAGGATCAATTTCGTACATGGTGATTTCCTCAGATGGCTACATGCATCTTGAATCTAGAAGCCACAGTCATAGATCCGGCTTGCCTTATATGGTAGTTTCCCTAAATAGAGGTACCTCAATATAGACCCCCTAAAATTATGCTCCGTATTATGGGAACCTCCACACAGGTATGCCTAATGTTGGGAAACTCCCATATGCCATCTAAGCTTCCCCAGATCCATCATCATCAAGCTCGTTGAAGAGCTGTTGTATGTTCCCGGGATACAGGTGCTTCCGCAGCACCTCACTGAACTCGACCTTGTTGATGCGTTGGACCTCACACGGAAACAGCCTTCTCCCCCCTTCACAACCACCATGACATCTTCTCAAATGCAAGATCCCCAAACATACCCTTTGAACGCACTCCTGAGAAAGGACATGATGCCCAGCAGGGCATAGCAAACCCCCCCCCCCCCC